GGAGCAATATACCAGAGTCTGCACGGGTATTATCAATGTATTTTTAATAATAATACTTTCCAATGATTCTAACAACCAAGTATGAATTTTAAAATTTTTGTTAGAAATTTGCAATATTGCCTGATAGTTTCTTGTAAGGTAGTGGAAGTTGTTGTACTTTTATGTTTTTAAGTTCTTTATTTGGAAGATTTTATACCAAGTGAGAAAATTCTGTCCCTGTATTTTAAAAGACACTGCTAGAGAGATTTTTCAAGTAGTGCCTTTATATAATTTGTGGCAACAAATCTACTTAGTAGTGAAAACATATCCAAACAAACCTAACATTTTCATAATATTCCCTCTGCAGCACATTTTTTAAAAATTAAAATTTGCTTTGACATTACTGTTAAAAATTACCTTTATCTTGATAGGCGCAATGAAATGAGGTCTCTTGTGTGTGTGTGGTGTGTGTGTGTGTGTGGTGTGTGTATGTGTGTGTGTGTGAGACAGAGAGAGAGAGAGAGAGAGAGAGAGAGAGAGAGAATATGTGCCAAGTAGCAAACCACTGAGCATTGCAGGGAAGGCTGCAAATTTGGAACTCATATATTTTGTCAGTGAAAATGCACAACTCATTTTTATGGTTGACAACTTTTAAAGGTATTATGTCACGAGATAACCATTGAACATTTTATCTGGAGAAAACTTCACCACTACTTCCTCTGTTATTACAAAGTATTATAATGATCCTGCCATTCAAAATGATACAAATCTACCTACCCAGGCACAAGCTGAAAAGTGGCAGTGTCAGCTACCATATGTTGTGGGATTCTTTCATGATGTCATGTGGTCTTAAGCAAAAAATGATCACCTGACACAGGAATCAAGCAACGGTACTAATGAATAGCCTCCTATTACTAAAGCAGTAGTTACTCTATTATGTAGGTCAATGGCTGCATTTAATCACTGACCCATGGTGAAGTACCACAAAACAGGAGAAGAAACCAAAGAAGTTTAAGATCTTACCTGCAAGGAGAGGTCAATGTACTTTTTTTCATCTTTCAAAAATGAAGGAAATGAACTCTTTGGCGCTCTTAACTTTATGGTATATATCCTATTAAATAGCAACAATGTCTAGCAGTCAAAGAAAAAGAAGCAAAGACTAACAGAAACAAGGTCTCTGGAAAACATTAGATTAAACTTCATATAATTTGTTTTGAGTAAAAACTCTTTTAAGTATATAACTTTTGAAGTTAATAGAAAACTCTCTAACCATTATGTCGTTTTATATTGTTCATGCCTATAAAAGTTATTTTGCTCATTGCTATACTAATTATAGCAAAACAGTAATAAACCACCATCAACACAATCTATTTCCTTGACGATAACATTTGGAGTCCAAAGAGGGAAGTGATACCCATTTAAATAGTGTGAGCAAATTTTAATGAAACTATTAAAAATATTTGAGTGCAGCAGAGGGAAACCACCCTGAGTAGGCAGTACTTGCAGAGTGCAGGTAACAGGAGAATTGATATCACTCTTAGGCCTGAGGTGTGAAAGCAGATGTGGGGCCTCAGGAGAGAGAACTGGTGGCCAGGAAATGAGCTGAGAAGACATAACCCATTGGAGGAGTGCCTCCCAGAGAGAGAAAGGGACTGTACACTCTGACCTGGCTGTTCTATTTCTGTAATCTCTTGTGGGGTCTAGCGATTGGCTGTACCCCACCACTGACAGGTCAGCCTCTGGAGTAAGCAGCAGGTTGAAGGGTCAAAAGTGGGTCTGGAGAGGCAAAGAGACGGCATCTGGCAAGAGCACCTTTGAATTTATTCCCTTCTGAATGATGAAATAATTAAGTGGCCGATTGGCAGTCTAAATTTTGTGTTTATATAAAAAAGATGAGGAAATTATGAAGTGTGTTTCTGTTTCCCCAAAGCATGATTAATTGTACTTTTTCAAAAATGACCTACTTCTTTTAACTTTTTAAAAAATGCATTGCATTGCTGTTACAAAACCCAAAAGATTTAAAAAGACTATAGTGAAAACTAAGTCTTTATTCTTCCTTCCCGGTGTCCTTTTCCCTCCAACACAAAATTTACTAGTTTCTTTTGTATCCTTCCACCAGAAATTTCCCATGCATTTGCAATCAACAATATACTTCTTGATTTTTTTTTTAACAAGAAGAGTAGCATACTATACATATAGATCATCTGTTACTTTCAAAATGTATCTCGAGATCACTTTAAATCAGCATATAAGTACTTTCTGAAGTATGCAGAATTTTATTTATATGGGTGTTACAAAACTTCCTTCACCAGTTCTCTATTGATTTTGTTTTCATTTTTGTCTACAACCAGAGCTAGACTGAATATTATATATGCATCATTTTTCACATATTCTATTTCACATTTCACATCTTATTTATAATAATAAGTAGTTAAAACAAAATTGCTTTAAGAGGTGAAATCATTTTAAAATGTAAATTGTGTTGACAAATAAGCTTCCATAATGGTCAGTACCATTAAACTTCCATCTTGAGAACCTTTCTCCATATTTTCACCAGTAGCATACCACTCAATTTTTTTGATTGTGGCAAATCTGACCAATTAAATTGGTACATGATTATATTTCAATTTCTACTATTATGACTCATGTTGAGTACCAATTCATGTGATTAAAGACCAAATATATTTATTTTGTGTTAAATTATTTAATCATTTTTAAGAATTTGAGGGGCTGCATGTTCATTAAGGAAATTATTTCTCTGCCAGGAAAAAGACTTGATATAGAAAATACTTTGATATTTCTTTGATATTTAAAAAATCTTTTCCTAGTTATAAAAAAATTCTTCCATCTTCTAATATTTTCAAGTTTTCTCTCTCTCTCTTTCTGTATTCCTCTTTGTAAACTTTAGATAACAAAAATTTAGAATTATTTTGCTCTATTATGTGGGTTATTTTATATGATTTTTCTCCCCAGTTGGCTTTCCAAGTGTGATTTTTTAAATAATTCATCTAACCCACTGATTTGAAATCCTTTTTCTTTAACAACTACTAAATTTGTGAAAATTATTAAGTATATTTCTGGGCTTTCCATTTTGTTCCATTAATATATTTTTGGCAGACTGTTTTTGGCAACCTTACATAATTTTAATTATAGGCAATGATAAGTTTTGATCATAAATATATTACAATTATCAAAAAGTATCTACAGTGCCAGAAAGTGTTTATGACCATATCCAACTTAGAACATAATTTGAATGAGATATTTTGGCTTTGGCAGAAATAACTGGACTTAAATAAATATTTTTAATTAGAAAAATAAACATTCATATTGTGTTGGGTAAAAGATCAAATCAGTTCATGCACATAGAAGAAATATAATGTGAGGAACATGTCCTATTTGTCATTGTCATTAACAACATCAACAGCACCATTTATTGACAACTGCATGTAGGACTTGTCATCACCATCCCTCACTCTACACTGTAGAAACTGAGATTCAGGAAATTTAAGATGATGCTTCTAGGAAATATCAGAACCACAGCTGTGTTCTGCCTGGTGAGCATTTGCTGCATGAGGTTAAGTGTGAGAATTCATCAAATAAAAGCCTACATACAAGACTAAAATAAATACCAATGATTGATAAAGACAAAATGTGATATAGAATTTCAGTAGAGTGGGAAATTATTGAGATTGAAAACTTTTACTAGGGATAGCACCAGTAAAAATGATGGCTCAGGAGGTAATTCCAGGAAGGGAAAGTGAAGGTCAAACATAATGTTATGGAGGGAGGATGTCTAGTAATGTGTTTGGGGAAAGGTGTATAGATTTTAGTGGAATAAGAGCTTTATATTCATTGATTTGTTTATGTACTCATTTTGTAAAGAATGGTACGTTGGTACTCTCTGATGAACAAAAAGAAAGCTGATATTTGTTTCGTATCAAATGAAACATTCAGTACATATGAGAGTTATGAATAGGAATCAGGCCTGGAGTGAACATTTGCATGATTATATAATCTTCACAAACTGGGAATGCTGAAGTGGAAATTGTGTAAATAAAGAGCTCTAAGAGGGTGGTGAGAAGAAGGGTGACTTTCCATTCTAAAACGCTCCCCACACAAACTTACTTAAAAGGAATGCTTGTATCCTTTTCATTTCTGGATGGTTAGAGATGACACGTAACAAATTATTAGAATTACTGAATGTTAAGTGGTCACATGTCAGTCATACATTTTGATTTAGACTTTTTCCATTTTCTAATTGTAATCATAACATCTCTTTTGTCATAAAATGATTTTTAGTTCATACTGCTTGTTTAGCTTTTTCTTTCTTTGTTTTTAACCCAGATTTCAACTTTTGGCAATAATGTTTCTACTGATAAATACATACACAAAATCCTCTGGATTATAGAAAAAAGGGTAAACATATTCTTCAGAAATTCCTTTAACTAAACAAGGAAAAAACAGGAGAATCCCTGACAGTATGTGAAATAAAGGTAAAATATATTCACATAACGCTGAACAAATCAAAATATTAAGTGTACAAGCATGTTTCCCTTAATTACTTGTGAAAAAAGTTATATACACATACATAGACACACAAACACATATGTGTGTATACACATGCAGACACACAGAGTAGTTATTGATTTCCTTATTGATTGCCAAATACTAATTTTCTCTCTTAATTTGTAAGATCAGTTCAGGTTCCAGAAAGTTATTCCAAAATAAAAACTCAGATATTGACTACACAGAAGAATGTGTACCTAAATTATTCAGTTCAAACTCACATCTATTTGAAAATGGTAGGCACAAAAAGATGTGTGGCTTATTACCTTAGATACAGGTGGCTATTTAATTTTAAAAGAAATGCTCCTCAATAGCTTAATCGATCATGAATATAGTTGGCAACATCTGAAGATTTATAATGCTGTAACTTGGTACTCTTTCCTACAATAAGCCCCATTTGACAAACCTCTTCTGGAAACTTCTTTATCACTTTTGTATCTATGATTTTATACCAGGTTCTTGGAATCAACTCACCTCCTTATTCATCACATCCTTGACACAGAGTATCAAACTTCTTCCCCAAGAATTCACCTCAACTAATCTTATGTAAGTCTTAAGACACTTTCATTTTCCATTTAAGGGTTATTATAATTATCCTATAATTACTGTTATAATACACTATAAATATATTGTGACATTACTTTATAAAGTTTCACTCATTGTTCTAGATTTAATCACAAGCTTATATTTTCTTATTCTTTTAAGAAAGAATACAAAATTTTGAGGACAGGCAAAAACATATATTTTTAAAATTGGCTCACCATATATTTTACAGTCCTCCACATTAGTATGTATTGTTAAAAAATGTCTGAGTGAAATGAATTTAGAAATGAGTTTCTCATGGTTTAGGCACTAGTATTGTCAGCTATAACAAAGCAACAGTGACCAATCATTTCAATATATCTTTCAATTAAATATGCAGTTTTATGCAAAAATATGTCATACATTAAATTCTAATTCCATGACGCCGAAGTAACATAGTACAGATCCTAAATGCTGCTCATACTCAGACAAATATTTTTTCTCTCCTGAATGGAAACTGGTATTCAGTCCCACTACTGAATTATAATTTTCCTCCTGTAAAGTTTTACATTTTTTTTAACTTCGTTTGAATAATAAAAAGTGTAGCTAGAAGAAGATTAAAAGAAAACAAAGCTTAAAGAACAGTTAAATTAGGGAGTTAAGACTAATCTAAGACTAAATCTGCATTGCTACATTTGGCGCTTCTATCTCTAAGATATATTTCTGTCTTCAGCACACTGTTCTTGTACTTTTTATTTTGTCTTATCATATGCTTCACTGGTTTGTGCTGGTAGGTCACTGGCACAGTAGTGGTGGAAGGTGAGTGAAGCCTGTGCACATATGGAGGAGAGGTGAAGATGTCTCAAAGTTAAATAGATGAATAAACAAAGAAAAATGAATAATAAAATAAGAAATTTAAAATAAAGAAATAAAAATGAATTGGATTTCACTGGTGAGTTTAATGTAGTGTATGCACATGTTGATTTTTAATGTTGCATATCTGAAATTTACAATGTCATAATGCAATGTTACTTCAGTAAAAGAGAAACTAAACAACACAAATTAATACTTCATTAACAGTTTAACTCAAAAATGCAGTTTTTCTTAAGTTATTAAGTTCAGTTTACACATCTTATACTACTTATAAATGTAGGAAATTTTAACAGTTGCTTCTCAGGATAGGGAAGATCTTTGATTAACATCTTCCCAGTAGAAAAAACACTCATAAGTGTTTTGAACTTCATTTATAAATTTAGTATATTCAGGTTTCTTTTAGCTCATTGTTCTGTCTCAATAAAGAAAATTTTCCTAAGATATCTAGAAAATTTTTCTAACAAGGTGAGCTTTTTAGTCAAATTTATTTTATATGTAAATGTAGTATTATTTCAATCTAAAACCATAAGTCTTTTTGATTACTTGGCTAACCTGTTCCTCTAAAAGCCAAATTCTCTTAAAATCAAAAAAATTAAAATAGCATTCACATACATATAGTAATAATTACTTCCCTTTAAGTCTCTCAAATTTTTCTGATTCTAACTATAGATCTTCTAAGAATTAAATGCTACTTTCTGAATGCCCTGGATTTTGGTAATTGTTGAGACTTGGTAATAGTATATGAATGGGGAGTGTGTGTGTGTGGGGGGGGGTATCATAGTACAATTTTCTCTATTTTTATAAATTTTTGCATATTATTATGATAAGAATCAAAATGCTTTGACATGAGAGGAGCAGCCTGTCTTAAACAATCTTGGAACTACCTTTTATATATTTTTTTTGTTGCTTTCTAAGTTTGATAGTCTCCTAACCACCCCAAAGTGGTTGCTGGGTAGGATGTTAACTAGGAGAGACTTATTTTCTAGGTCAATGGTTTCCACTGAAGGATGTTTCAAATATATGTTCCTTAGGTTTATATTATAAATTATATAATTTTCAGACTGATAATGACTTTATCCTCCATCCCCTCATACCTGCCTCCTCACTCCCCCATACATTGCTATGTCACTTAAATACATTTTGCTTTTCTCTGGATTTTAAAAAGTTAAAGGACTTTCTTTCTGGCTTTCATAACAACTGAACTTAAGAGAAATTCTGCCTCACTTACATTCTTGCCCTAGTTCTTGAAAATATTAGTCACTGGGTCACTGTTACTCTCTCCATCACCACTTCTATCTACATAGATAGGTTTCACTACCTATGTAGACTGTTCGTCAACATCTTGCATTCTCACTTCAATTAATCTACTTTTCTTTAATTATTTACCTTTAATATCAGTCTCAGGTCCTGTTCTTGACATTGTTAGTTGTCCTTCTATTTCAGTTGAGTGACTCTAATACCTCTATGCTTGCATTCTATTCTCCACACAGGACCCTATTATTCATCAGTACTTTTTTTCTCTTTAACCCAACCAATTTCCTTACTTACTTTTCATACAAGTCATGTTACATGGTTTATCATTATTTTCTATTCCTTGCCTGTACTTTCAATTCCCTTGCCTCTCTGCTTAGCAATAGGCTATGTAAATATTTCTCATTAAGTATAGTTCTCTACCTATTTCTTGAGCAAAAGAAAAACACAAGTGCATTGGTTGACTCTACTTTAAATTTATAAGCAGTAATTTCAAATGTGCCCACTGCTCTCCTAACTCCAACACCTTCTGTCCATTGAAAAGATAACCTTGTTTCCTTCACAACACAATTAATTATCACTACCCATTCTACTCTTCAGACTTCAACATTACTTAACCTATCAGCAGCATTTGAAACAGTTGGTCAAATTACCTTCACTTTTATACTTTCTTAATTCAGTCTTGCAGGACTCCAAGCTCACTTGATTTATCTTTTACATCTCTCATTGCTTTAGTCTTTTATGCTGCTGCTTTACTTCTAACATTTACATGCAGGTATGATTGGATATTTGGACTCCTTTGCATTTCATTTGTTCTTATTCTCTTATGGCATCACCCTTCTTTAAGACTTTAAACTTCAACTTCATCTTTGTGTTGATAATTCCCTCATTTTCATCTGAAGTTCAGTTAAGATTTCAGTAGATCCAGATTGATCCCTTGATAACTTCTTCCCTCTCCTATAAACATATCCTTCTGAAATTCTATTCCATTGTTTTACAGGCAATAACCTTGGTATCATTTAGCTGTTTCTCTGAGGTCCCTCATCTAATTCATAAGAAATTTTATAGGTTTTATTTTCAAATAGAAGTCCAGAATTGACTCAACCATTTTTCACTCCTTCTATTACTGTACTCTGGTCTGAGCTACTGGATTATTGCATTAATCTCCTAACTGATATATTCCTCAGTCAATTTTTAACAAAACAGTAAATTAGAGAAATTCTGTTAAAATATGAGCCAAATCGTATCTTTAATCTTGTCAGAACCCTTTAATGTAAGTTTGACTTTCAATCAAACTAAAAGTCAACATTCAAAAATGTCATAGAAAGTTTTACATAACCTGCCTTCACCTTCACCCTTTCCCCTCTGACTTCATTTCCTACTTCTCCTTCCTGTGCTCAGGCTAATCCAGCACACTAACCTCATTGTTTTCTTTCTGACACCCCAAATGCAAATTTCAGTGCTTTTACAAATGCAATTTCCTCCCCCCTCCATCCTCTTCTTTTAGATACCAAAAAAATCCATTGTTTCACTTCCAAATAACAGCTTTTAAATAAAGCTATTCCTTGCTACTCTATCTTAAAATTTCAGGTCTTTAAACTTCATTAACCTTCACACTTTTTGTATCTCCTAATTGCTTTATTTTTGTTCTTAGTTCTTAACAACGTCTTAGAGGTATACATCTTATTTCTCTTAAACATTACATAAAGAAGAGCAGGAATTTTTGTCAGTTTTATCTAACTGCTGTAGCCCTGAAGAAAACAACCTGATTCATGGAAGGAATGTAATAATTTTTTAAAAGTATGTAAGTACTTCCTGTGGGATAAGACCACATCTTTTACAAATATAAACCTGATGCTTGATTGGATTCTCTGTATCATGTGACTGTCCAAATTTGTAGCCCCAAATCAGATCACATTACCTTAATTCTCATAAGTCTCTGAAGGTAAATATTATTATACTGACTTTTAAAACCTAAAAAAAAAAATGGGCCCACAAAAGTTAAGGATCTTGCTGAAAGAGATATACTTAGGAAATAGTAGAACCAAGATTATTTTTATCTGGGAGCTGTGATGTAGATCCTAAAATATTAACTATTATCCTATGAGTTAAGAGAATCAACATTTTCACATATTAAGTCAACAAAATTGTTGTGTTGGAGAAGGAACAAAAATTTTCCTGATATTGAGAATAAAATAACATTTATCCTGTCAGAATTATATGGTATAGGATTAATGAATTTTATCTTTATCTTATTGGTAGGTGACCAATAAGGTGACCAAACAATAGCATTGTTATTAAGGAAATGATAGTGTACTGAGATAGTGTTCTGAGGTTAGTAGATATGGAGAGGAGAGTACTGGTTCATGAAAATTTTGTAAGTGACTTGGTAGACGGTGATGGGATTAAATTGGCCCAGATACATAAATGGATGGCAAGAAAAGTAAGTCAAAAAATGAGTGGTTGAATGAACCTGGAGAACAGGCAGAAATCAGGAGTAAAGTTTCTGTTGGCCCTGATTCTAGGTTCAGTGTCAGTAATAAAGTCAAAACATGAAAGGGTTAATACATTTGATTTTTGGCTTTAAAACATCAGATGAGGAGCCATTCACAGTGACAATAAGATTTAATATGTAGCTATGGAACGGAGTTGTTGAAGGATGAAGGCGCTAAAATTTATTGGTAAAAAGGATGTCAATGGCTCTTGAGGGTCAGATTTTCCACTGAATCATCCATTTAGAAATAAAACTGTCTAGAATGGTGGCAAGAAGTGGGATAGTGAGAAATAATAAGAATAGTGTTACAGACATTTTCTCACATCGTTTTCCCATTTGCACTCAGATGAAATGTGTATGAATTAGACCACTGAGTTACAGATCTATGACCACTTACTTGACAATA